CCCTCCCGCTGTGTATACCCCTTCGCCACAAGTCTCGCCTTATATCTCGCTGCCTCGACACCGGGAATGCCCTCCTTCCGTTTAAAGACCCACTTGCTACCGACAATCTTCTGGCTCTTAGGTACTTTGACCAACTCCCATGTCTGATTCTGATAAAGTGATTCCATCTCTTCACTCATAGCCCCTATCCATTGCGACGACTCAGAACTCGCCATCGCCTCAGAGTAAGACGAAGGCTCATCTGTCTCCACCTCGTCACCTACAGTCAATGCATAAGCAATATCTGTATAACCATAATGTACCGGCGGTTTAATTTGCCTTCTCTGTCTACCCGCGGCTATAGTGTGCTGCGGCTCTGCTGATTGTTCATTATCACCAACTTCAGGAACTGCGGCCTCATCTCGCAATCTCGCCGTTACCTTCGAGGTCTCCGAGTCTCCACCGAATCTCCACCTCACTACCGACACCACGATCATGCCGCTCTGCTGGTTGTGTCTCAAGACCCTCCTTCGAAGCATTGCGGTCTCGTCGAAGATCACGTCTCTCGCGATTAGAAAACCGGGTGATCCGGGATCGGTGCACCACAGTAGCCTTTCACCCCATGTGCATAACCCGAAATATGCACTTCTTCGCCCTCGGCTCAAGCTTACCATCACTCGCATGAGCATACGCAGGACATCCGAATACTCGTAATCCGGAGTAATCAACAGGTTTCCCCGACCATACTTCCTCAGGAGTCTTCCACTCTATAGCAGATGATGGAGATCGATTAACCAAGTAACATGCCATGTTCACTGCTTCGGCCCAAAATTCCTTGCCTATTCTTGCATGCGAAAGCATGCTCCGAGCTCGCTCCAGTAAAGTTCTGTTCTTCCGTTCTGCAACGCCATTCTGCTGTGGTGTCCCGGGCACTGTGCGGTGTCTCACAATCCCTTCTTTCTCGCAGAACTCGGTAAAATCTTTACCACAGAACTCCATGCCGTTATCGGTTCTCAGGCACTTGATCTGTTTATCTGACTGCTTCTCAATCAATGCCTTAAACTTCTTGAACCGATCAAACACATCAGATTTGTGCTTCAGAAAGTAAACCCATACCTTTCTGGAGTAGTCGTCGATAAATGTTAGCATATATCGGGCACCTCCTTTCGAAGGAACCGGAGACGGGCCCCAGACGTCTGAATGAATGTACTCAACCGGTCGCTTGGTCGAATGAACAGCTGTTGTAAACTTAATCCGACGCTGCTTCCCAAAGATACAGTGCTCACATAAGTCCAGCTTCCCTGTCTTCTGACCCTTCAACAACCCTCTATCACTCAGCATCGTCATACCTGCCTCACTCATGTGCCCCAAACGCATATGCCATAACTGAGTCAAGTCAGAATCTGACTCACCTGATGAAACTGCAGCAGCTCCTGTCACGGTCTCTCCCAGTAGATGATAGAGAGAACTCACTTTCTTCCCCTTCATCACTGTCATGGCACCTCGAGAAACCTTCAGCACTCCACCTTCAGCGGTGTACTTACACCCGATATCATCGAGTGTCCCCAAAGAAATAAGGTTCTTCTTGAGCTCTGGTACATGTCTCACGTCTGTCAGTGTGCGCACCACCCCATCGTGCATCTGAATCCGAACTGTTCCTATCCCCACAACATTGCAGGTTGCATTATTCCCCATCAGAACTCTACCACCATCTGCAGTCTGGTAAGTAGTAAACCAGTTCTTATGAGGCGTCATATGATAAGAACACCCCGAATCTAGCACCCATTCGTCTCCTAACGAACCAGTAGTCACACACAAGACGGCCTCTGCATCACTAGTGCTCTCCTCAGCAACGTTTGCCACACTGCTTGTGGCATTCTGCTTGTCACCTCTATTTCTTCGCTTCGGACAATCTCTCCTGATGTGCCCCTCCTCGTGACATTCAAAGCACTTCACGCGTCCTTTAGACTTTCGATTGCGTGACTTTGACCTGCTTTTACCTCTGCTGCTACTGGACCCTCGATGTTGTTCTCTACCTCGAATCACTAGTCCTCGCGCTACATCCTGCGCTAGACTGTCATCTCGCAACTTCCTCTGCCACTCTTTAGAAAACAATGCGGACTTTACCTCTTCCGAGGTAATAGTAGTACGCCCCTGTAGTAGTGAATCAGTAAAGTGCTCCCATGATTCCGGTAAAGAAGCCAATAACATCATGCCCTGTTCCTCATCATCAAGTATCTTACCGACGTTCTTCAAATCCATCATGAGTTTATTAAATTCATCTAGGTGGGATCTGATCGACGTACCTTCAGTATATCGAAATTGAAACATCCTCTTCAACATGTACAAGCGATTGTTCAAACCCTTCGTTACATAGAGTGCCTGTAATTTTGCCCACAATGCTGCGGCATCCTTCTCCTCAACCACCTCTATTAACACTTCATCCGATAAATTCAGCAGGATTATACTCTTTGCTCTCTCCATTAGGTCTGCTTTATCAGCTGCTTTCATTATAATGGGTAATCCATCTTCGCCATCTAATGCTTTGGCCAAACCTTGGGTTGTCAATAGCGCACGCATCTTGACGCTCCATAACCCAAAATTGTTCCTCCCGTTAAACTTCTCAATCTCAACTTTCGCTCCAGACATAATTGCAATAGCAGAATTTCCAGATAATAATCAGACAAGCAAAAAAAGCCCCAAATCACAATCCAGAAAATCCAACCCTCAAGCTCTGATACCAATTGTTGGAAATATAACGCGGAAACGAAATATAACGCGGAAACGACAGGATCTTGCAAATTAAGTCAATGCGAAAATACCAGAGAAATAAACGAGGAACGATAAAGGACACCAGAGATTTACGTGGTTCGGTCCGAATATCGGTACCTACATCCACGGGGAGAGCCAGCAACAAATAATCCACTATAATCGGAGAATCAGAGTTACAATTCGCTCAAAACGCTCGAGTGTTTCCCACACCTAAATTTAAGCCCAAACCCAAAGTGTTTACGAATAAACAACTTAATTGGACAAAATAAACTCACTGCACAAATCACCGCGTGTTGAAGCCCAAAGCGAAACACTCTCGTATGATCGAAAACCAAGAACGACCGTACGTTCTTTTCTTTTGTTCTCGTGCGGCGCTTCTTCTCTGAGAACTTCGTGAGCGTTCGCGGCTAGTGCGGCTCTGTGCGTGTGCGGCTTGAAACCCTCGCAGAAGATAACATGCCTTTTATACGTGTGCCCCTTCTTTCTCTTTTATTTTATTATTTAATTCCAAGAGTCAACAAAGAATAACTTTGACCAGGGCCCACCAGTTTTCCTTCTCTGTTGAAGACGTCCTTCGCTTTACGTGCCATCAGAAGGAATTCTTTAATAGGCAATTTTGAATATTTTCTCCAAAAGAAAATATATATCTTCACGATAAATTATGAAATTTATCCAAGCGAGTCACATTCCGTAAACGATTCAAACTCGAGACATAAATTCAACACCTTTTGCATTGGTGCCAATTTAGTCTTAAACCTTTTTTTGTGTTAATTTAGTCCTAAACCGTTTGCATTCGTGCCAATTTAGTCCTAAACATTTTTTTGCGTCAATTCAGTCCTAAACCTTTTGCATTTGTGCAAATTCAATCATAAACATTTTGTCTTTGTACCAATTCAGTCATTTCGGCTAATTTTAGCTGGATTTTACTAAAGTGGACGCTGACAGGCCGGCGGCCGGTCACCGGCGCTGACGTGGAAAACTTTAATAATATTTGAATATATTTTTTAATTTTTATTTATTTTTTTCTTTTCTCTTTTTTCCCCTCCCCTCCCTCCTTCCTCTAGCCGGTCGCTGGACCGGCGACCGACCAGAGGCCAGAGGCCGGCGCCGGCGAGGCTTGCCCTCGCCGGCCACTAGCGAGGGTGAAGGCGAGCCTCGTCATGGCTGGGCAAGGCCCGACCTCGCTAGATCTGGTGAGGTCGTGCCAGCTGCCGGCGAGGCTCGACCTCGCCGGATCTGCAAGGTCGAGCCTCGCCGGCGGCTGGGCGAGGCACGACCTCGCTGGATCTAGCAAGGTCGGGCCTTGCCCAGCCATGGCGAGGCTCGCCTTCACCCTCGCTGGCGAGGGTGAGCCTGGCCGGCGAGCGAGGCTGCCCTCGCCAGTGGCCGGCATGGACGAGACTCGCCGACGCCGGCCTTTGGCCTTTGGCAGGTCCGGCGACCGGCTAGAGGAAGGAGGGAGGGGTGGGGAAAAAAAAAGAAAACAAAAAAATAATATTAATTCAAAAAAATATTAAAATATTATTAAAATTTTCTACGTTAGAGCCGGTGACCAGCCGCCAGCCGATCGGCGTTCACATCAGCAAAATTCGGCCAAAATTAGCAGGAAGGACTGAATTGGCACAAATGCAAAAGGTTTAGAACTGAACTGACACCATAAAAAGGTTTAGGACTGAATTGGCACAAAAAAAGATTTAGGACTAAATTGACACAAATGTAAAAGATTTAGGACTTTTTTTGCACTTTTCCCCTATATATTGACGATTTGGGGCAGTGTACTAAAACACACTAGTCTAGGAGGCTTGTTTGCCCAAAGGAGATAAGCTGTCTTAGACTAATATTGTCTCATAATTAGCTTCACTGAGAGGCTCCAATTGACGAGTTATTTACTCTATCGTAATGAGGAGTCTATTATGATCACAAGGCTAGTCATTCGGATGAAATATCGATTCTTATCAATCGTGCACACTTGGCGTGTTGGATTTCTTTGTAGGATAAGATGTGCCATTTTGATTGGCAATAGAGAGAATTTCTAGTTGTCTATTGCATTCTCCACCTGCAGGCGAGTTTGTAAAAAAAAACATATCAAAAGTCTTGAAGTTTTTTTCGATTGTCTCCTTTGAAATGCTAGATTGAAAATATGAGGGTCTTGGCTAATTTTGGTTATATGAGCTCATCATATAGAGTATTTTTACAACATCTTGTTACTAAGTGAATCAACTTAGTGATACATGTATAATATCTCCTTTGGGAGATGCTTAGTTCTTACAAGGCATGAATTCATTTTATGATATGTGCATGTAGTTGAGGCACATATTAAGGTTGATTGACATTTGATCAAACTCAACATTATTGCAATTTTACAAGAGTTACACTCTTATATCCAAAGTTTATAAGAGATTCTTTTATTATCAGACAGAAAGAAATTGAGTCTGATTCTACCGATCTTCAATGTCAAAATTTGATAACAATGTTGTGATTTTTGTGTTCCATTCCAAAGCTGAATGCCTTTAAGGATCTTTGGAACTTCCACTGCAATTTTGTAATAAACTAATTGATTCATATCAATTTGTGTTAAGTGGCATTAGTAAGAGTGCTACTTTTGTAACATCTTTTGTGAAAAAATTATAAGAGGGCCTAGGTCCGCAAGGGCACATAAGCTTGAATTTTAGTCTAGTGCTGAAAATTATATTTTAAGAGTCGATTAGGGAGTTTTTAACACATGAATATTTGCCGACAAGTTGAAAATGCATTTTTATGAAAAAAATAAAAGAAAAATAAAATAAAAAAGAAAAAAGAAAAACAAGAGAGAAAAGAAAATAATAAATCTCCAGCCCATCCCTTAAGTTCGGCCCTATTCTGAGGGCGACGTTTTGAAGCCGTTTGTGGCCTTTGCTCACTCACTGATGATGCCCACAGCTGAATCAGGTCGTTTTGTATCGAATTGAATTCTAGATATGATTTCAGTTCATTCCTGCTTTGCCCTCTCGCTTTTTTCAGAGTTGCACTGCCGTTGATTGCGCTGTGGGGGAGGAATCGAGTTTGCGAGGAAGGTGTTCGATGAAATGACGAAGCTGGACTCTGTTTCGAGAAGTACCTGTTCACGATAGAGATAATTGACGACTCGGCAGTGGCGACCTCAAGCTTTGGATTGGTGATCGAGCGAAAGCAAGTCTCTCAAAGATTGATTCCAGAGAAGCTCGCTGAACTTGCTCGACAACGCCATGATCGTGTCCTTGGAGCTTCTTCGCTTCCGTCCGCCAATAACGTCTCCGTTGTTGCTCTGTTTCAAAGGCCTGCGACGTCTCGCCCAGGGATATTTCAGGGGCACTAGTTGTCGATTATCACTGGCGCTGCTCGTTTCCCATGAATTCAAGCTCCAGCATGGTTCGTCATTCTCGGTCATGATGACACATACTTGAAGCACATGGAGCAAGAAATCTTCGATCAATTCATGAAGCTAAGTTGTCATGTCATTCGAATCGTTTGAATTAGGAACTCTCTAGGGCGTCAAAGTCCATAAAAGCAGGTCCCAAAGCCGGCACTCTGGAATAGGCAGTTGAAGCGTTGAAAAGGGAAACAAATTGATGACGATGCCAAAAAGAAAAGTTAAGTTCTAGGATGGAGAGTGATTTGGAGGAAAAAATCATATCTTATTCAGCGAAAATTGTGATGTCAAGAAGTGCTGAGGGACAAAGTGGCCAAATTTGAAGCGGGTTTGTATTCCATGCTCTCTAACGCTCTTCCGTTTCATGTTAGAGAATGAGTTGAAGTTGGAATAATATGAAGAATTCAAGATTTCTTTGAAACCTCTTTTTTCAATGGGGTGAACACCGACTTGAATGCTATCATGATGGATTGACGAATATCCACGATGAATGAATATGAGATGGAAGGGGATGATGTTCTTGCAGTCGAACGACGAACTGTTTGATTGATTTCTCTAGTAAATTCGAGAAATAATGCTTTTCATGAATCGTATGATGTTGCAGATCCACTGCTGTCAAGGGGGAGGTGTTGAGGTCTTTGGATGATAGTGTGAAGTGCTGAGTGATGCTACAAATTGTGATGAAAACGAAGTTGGAGGAATTGAAGGCTAGCTTGAAATGAGGGGCAATGTGTTGCTATGCATTTTTAGGATTTTCTTTTAATACATTATAGCATACATTGTCAGTAGGAAAAAAGGATTTACAGAATTGGCTTTATACTTACGCCATTAATTTAAAAAAGAGAGTATTATTAACCTAACATCAATTATGGATTGGTTGATTAGGTAAAATTTCCTATAAATTGAGTATAATATATTTTTCCTATTTTTTTAATCTATTGTCGTTTCTCTTTGTAATAATTAAGATTCAAGATGACTTGGATTTATACAATGGCTAAAGGGGGAGAGACTGGTGATTGTAGAGGACTTGTCATGAGTTCATACGATATCTTTTTAGCAAAAGAGGATAGGTGTTGTGCACGAGTAGAGGTGGCAAAATGGATTAGTGAACCTATTTTTCCACTCATATTTATTAAAAGTGAGTGTATTACGGGCCACCCCAATTTTATAATTGGATTGGAAAGGGTTTTAAAATGCAAAGTCCAACTATAAGTGGGTCTAAATGAATTTACCTCATACCCATAAATTAACTCATTTTAATTGGGTTGCGTACGGCTTTTTAGCAATTGTGACATGTACATTTCAGCCCATGTGTGTGCTACTCAGAGTTTACTGATAAACACGGACCGGTTGAGGTAAGCTTGTTCGGATACGCTTAGAAACAAGACGTGATTTCTTGTCTTTTCAAATTTGAAAACAAAAAGAATATCCTCAGTTCGTGAAATATTACAACAAAAAATTATGTATATATTTATATGTCGATATTGTTTCCGTGAGTCGTAATATTGAATAAAAAGCAAAAAGTAATTAAAAATATTGTATTGCTTATGAAAGATCTCAAACTAATGACACCCAAACGCTATATTCCAACTCGTCGGCCCCTCTTCAATAATCTGATGCCTTTACGCTTTTAGTTTTATCTTTTCAAATTTACTTACACATAACTTCACATCCACCGTTTCCTTTTTACTTTTTACTTTTCTGGATTATTTTATTGAGACCATTTTGCTTAATTTGGTTTTTCTTAGTGACCAATTCAATCCTAAATTTTTTAATTTGGTCACTTTAGTCTTAAATCTTTGTTAATTTGCCAAGTTTGGCCAAAAATCACTATCGTGGCTGTCTAGTAAATGGCCATCTTACTTGGCACGGTCGTTGCTGACATGGACGATTTTTGCAATTTTTTAAAATTTTGCAAATTTTTTCCTTTTTCTTTTCTGTCCTTTTTTTTTTTGCAATGTTTGCAATATTTTTGTGTTTTTTGCTATATTTACTAACATAATTTAATCATGCTAATTTACTTTTTAAATTCGATATGAAATTTTTATCCAAGTAACATTTACAAGTGAAGATTTTAAAGTGGGTTAAATGGGTGGTATGGATTTTCATAGGTTGGATTAGATATAGATGTATTTTAGTAATATGAGTTGGGTCAAGTACGAGTCACTAAATTTGAATTAGCTGGTCAAAAAAAGTTAAACGGGTCAATTTGGATCGGATCATCCTCGATCCGACACAAACCCAACACAACCCACTATTCGATGGCCCTACGCACGAGTAATACCAATTATCTGGGACTAGTTACAGAGGACCTTGTCCTTTCACACGCGATTCTTTAGCAAAGAGAGGGTGAGTATTGGGCATGAGTAATACCAATCATTCGGATGAATGAAGCACAGAACGGGAGCCTCAACAATCTTAAGGGACTTTAATGCAAGGTGGCAGGTGAGAGGTTGATACATTGCTATCGAAGAGATTAAAGAAGTACATCTCTTGTTGTGAATATAACTATCAAGAAAATGGTTTAGGGTATTTATAGTGAAAGATGAGAAATTGCCATTAAAGAGGATGGCGTGTTAAGATTGTCAGGTGTTGTATCGCCACGTGTCAAGAGGAAACAAGTTAGGGACAAGTGGCCCATGCCATAAGGACATAAGTTGATGTTAAGTCCAATAAGAAAATCTTAGGGTTTGACCTCCTTAACTTGCCCCGCTCAGAGTGTACTAACTCAAATCTCTCTAAACATCCCAAATAAATTGCGTTTAACTCTGCCACAAATTCAGAGTTGAGTCGCTCCCTTCTGTTGGAACAACAAACTGCCACTTTCTTTCTTTGATTTTTCCCCCCACTTCGCTCGTCTACAAAATTACATTTGGAATCATATCATATTTCGACCACCAATCATTATTCATGGGCAATGCCTTTCATTTAAAAAAAAGAGAAATTCTAAACTTTCCTGCTTAGCTAGACTTCACACATTATAGTAATGAAATCAAATTTGTATGTGTCAGAGCCACGCAAGGGCACACTGCTCTTTTCTTGTTAAAAAAAAATTGATACAATCATGGCAAACCCAAGATTTCGATTTCCTTCAAACACCAATGAGGCAAAATGTGAGATTTTGATAGAACCACTGCCAACTATTCTAAAAGTTTAAGCTATTAGATGAATGCGTGATTTAATATTTAATTACTCTAACAAATCTTAGCTCAACTTAACTCAAATTACCGACTTGGATTTGTTCACAAGAAATCCAAGGATGAGAATTTATAATCTTCCATAGCTTAAGTTCAATTTTTGTGGTAATTGTTGAACAAATTCCTCTTGCGCCTACAAATTAGAACATAGGTTAGCCCACAATCCAAAAACTTATTATCATCTATTACGAACGATGGATGGGGACATAGTTTAAAATCTGATTCGCTTGCACCACTATGATCATCCCCCTCGCTTTGTAAATTTTTTCTATGAATCTGATTTACCATGGATTATTGGATCATACACATTAGATAAGATGGGTTTCATACAAGATATATCCTTTTAACCATTGAGATTTAATGGATCAAACTTTTTTTTTAGTCAAAGATCGAATTTAGACATGTGGTATTATTATGGTTGAATTCTAGAAACTGACCGTTGCATTTGTGGTACAGTTATCTATTGAATATAATTATTGAGTGAACTTAGTGCATAAACAAAATTGACTTTGAACCGTCCAAAATAGTAGGCTCAACACGAATGTCTTCAACTTTTACGATTCAGATTTAGTTTATTACATACATTTTCATTTAATAATATCTACTTGTTAGACGCTAATAATTGCCTCAACACTGAACTTTTGGCAGTGGCATATGGCACTCTTAATGAGAGCTTAAAATTGTCCAAACTCCGAAGCCATATTGAAGCGACAGAATCCTTGCAGTAGGGAAATGCAAGTGCAGAAAGAGAGATTGAAAGGTGCTCCCTAAACACCTCATGATGATACTTTCAACCAATCTTTTCCATAAAAATTAGAGGAAATGTCAAAAGTTCATAGCACTTGATAGTGAATACTCACTGGGTGGTTGATCTCATGATGCTTTGAAAGCATCTAACATTTTCTTAAACAAACTATTGTGGGTGAGCTGTTGCTAGCTCATTTATTTAATAGATTGGTTAAAACAACATATTCATTTTTAGAGTATCAATATATGTCACTTTATGTAAGTTCAATTCATCTTCTTATCCATTAGTTTTTTCTGATTGAGAATGAAGAATTTAAATATAAATGAGAGTAGAAACTAGACCTGTTAAATGAATGGATCGGGTTGGGTTGGGTTTGGGTCAGGTCAAGAATGGTCCGACCCAAATTGAACCATTAACCTGTTTATGACCCATTTATGCCTAATGCAATTTTCTTGACTCATACCCAATTCAACACATACCCTACCCGACCCATATTACTAAAACACTTTTTGTCACGCCCCGGACCCTAACGGGCTCGCGACACCCCTACGATGGTCGTATCGAATGTGACGTCCCAGGACTCGTCACCGACCCAAAGGAAACACCCCACGTCATACGCAAGCAGAAGCGAAATTTTAAACAACCTAGACAATAAACGATGAAGAAGGGGTAGCACTTGCACAATTCAATAAAGGCATAACATAATCATGACAGTTACAAACAATATTCATTTACGCCATAACAACCCAGGCTACTAACGAATAAACCCCGTTCAACAAAAGGGGACGATGGTTGGATAGTCCACTACACTATACAAAAAGGGGGCATTCAAAAGATGGAATGAAGCATCAAATGCCCAAAGTCATTCCCGGTCTCTGAACCGCACATGACGACTATCCGTCACTCCAAACCTGAAAATGTTTAACAACGGGGGATGAGATAAATCTCAATAAGCAGACCCTAAACCCCACATAGGACAATGCGTACCCAGACAGGTTTCCATATGCAATCTAACATTCGACGTACTAGAATTCACACAAACATACTTACCTCGCCTCAATTCATACGTCAACTCTGCATATTAGTCAATTCACATTAATGCAATAACATCTCATGTACATATCACAATCACTCGAGCACCATATACACATACGTTCACCCAATTCAATCAAGTACATTACACGTGCGCATCCATCCAACTTTCTGACGACCCGGATCAACACCCCACAGGTCCTTTCCCGCCACCTGCGTCAACACGCTCCAGGCTGGCAACCCTCATATTAATCCGGGCTTTGTCCCGCGTCAACACGCTCCAAGACCTTTCTCACGACCCGGGTCAACACCCCACAGGTCCTTTCTCACAACCCGGGTCAACATCCTACAGATTGACAGCCCTTCGATCGATCCGGGCTTGGTCAAGCAAACACACACGCCACTTAATTCAATCAATTTAATGTCATTAACATATTCAAACAACACTCTAATATGCTCAAACGCCAATCATTCAAATTAGCCCGTGCAAGCATCAAATCCACCACAACTTCCACAAAATGAGCCATAATAAATCAAGCGCACATGAGTCCCAATAGGCCATCGAACTCAGTCCCCAACTCAGCACGGCCAACACATATTCAAGCATCAAA